GGTTGCCGGTTCGAGCCCCGGCTCCAACAGTCTCGGTATTTGTGTCTTTGGGCAAGACCACCTACTGGTGGTGGTCTGTCAGTGCGCCCCAGGGCGGCTGTGGCTACACATTAGCTACACTGTAGCTTGCCATCACCAGTGTGGATGATTGTGTATAGTGTAAAGCGCTTTGGGGTCCTTAGGACCAAGTAAAGTGCCATACAAATGCAGACCATTACCAAGTGTTTTCTGGAGTGACTCCTCCTTCTTCTATGTATTGCAATCCAACACATGAGACAGATGAGGTTTGGTGGTTTCCAGGAGAACAGTACTTGTCTAACTGCATCGTGCCAAGTTTGGTGGCAGATTATGGACTCGGTGCCCTATTTTCAATGAAAGACATTGTGGACAGTTTCATGCTCTCAACTTTGTGGCAAGGATTTCCTGTTCCAACATGACTGCTCACCAGTGCACAAAGCAAGCTCCATAAAGACATGTGCCAGTGAGTGTAGAAGAGTTCTGATTTCAACCCAATAGTACAGATGGATCGATCGGACAAATGATGTTTAAAAATGGGGTTTTCGGGTGGCAGGAAAAGAGGAAGACCAGAGAGAAAGTTCATGCATGTAGTGAAAGAGTAAATGCAGAGGGTTGGTGAGATGGAAGAAGATCTGATATATCAACCCCTAGAGGGAGAAAATGAAAGATAAACAAGAAGTAAAAAACTTTATTTTAGAAAAAAAAGAAAGTATGCTATTGTTATGTTAATTAAATGTAACTTTTAAGGTCTTGACGTGGCTTCTGTCCGCTGAAGATGGTCTCCAGGGCCAGGCTCCTATCTCCAACCATGTGGAGGAGGTTAAGGAGCAGTTTCACACACACGAGGTAGGAGGAGCACTAGTGAAATCCTATGTCTTCATAAATGTATTGTATTATTTTTTTAAGATTCAACACTTGTTCTCAGGATTCCCAGCAAAACAGTGAATTTTTGAGAGTTAATAGAATTTTAAATTCTTTTGTCAGAATAGTTTAGGGTGACCAAAAAATAGACAAACTAAAGTACAGCTGGTAATAAAATGTTTGTACTGTCTTACATTTCTAAAGGGATTTTATGTTTTCACACATTTGCGTACAGCTGAATCTTTGCAACTGTATAATTATAGGTGAAATGCCCAAATAACACTGAGCTATTATTTCGTGTGCACAAGATCAGAAAACGTTTTTTTTTTTAAAGGATTCTCATATTTGTGTCAGCAGCAGCGGAAAATGTATTGATTATCATTATCATCAATCCATAGAATATCCAATAGCTAAAAAAAAATAATTTTACAGTTTCACAATTTAAGATGTGAAAGGGGGCTTTAAAAATCTGCAGTATCAACGTCACATTTTGCTTGTGAAATGTGATCAAAGAGCAGAAATATGAAAGGGGTTTAAGTCAGCGTCTCCAACCTTTTTTGCGCCACGGACCGGTTTATGCCCGACA